TGTCAGAGACTCCGCGTTGTGTTTGTTTCTGCTGGTGCAGGGTTTAGGAACTGCTTCTCCAGTCTTCTCCCCGTGTTCTGAATACTTTGCGCCTTGCGCGTTTTACGGTCAAACTCGTTGTGGCCTCACCGTGCTTCACGATTCCTCCAAAGCAGCAAGCTTTCGCCACAAAGCAGTCCACCATGCTGAGGCCGTTTACGCAGCAGGCTTGACAGGCCTGGCTTGAGTGATTCGTGTTTAAGGTCCTGTTTGTGTGTCCCGTTTCATCGACAGCCGACTTCCAGTAATGCGAAAACACCTTGGAGCTGGACTTATTCTATGCCTTGAGCGCCGAAGCTTCAGTCCCTGAACAGCCAGTGTAGCCCCTCTCCCGACACCCACCCCTCAGCCAACTTGGCATTCCGACTTCCAACCAGGCAGAGGAAAAGGGGGTTCAAAACAAAAAGAACCGCTAGCGTAGATTGTGCAAACTCTTCTTCGTCGCCGCCTTGCCGCCATGGGCGTTTTTGCAGTGGTGGTGGTCGGCGTCGTCACGGCGGTTGTGGTGGTGGATCGTCGTTGCGCTCGTGCTCGTCCAAGTCGTCGTCCTCGTCGTGTCGTAGTCCTGGTCGTCCGTTTGTTGCAGTTGCCGTGGTGCCACGTTGGCTGAGTGTCTTGTGGCCGTTGCAGCACTTGTGCTTGTGGGTGTAGGTGCCGTTTTTGGCGCTTCTAGTTTCAGAGCTGCTGCCGTCTGCCGCTATAAGTGTGACTGTTCTCTGTTGCTTTGGCTGTTGTTCTCGTGGTGGTGAGTGGTGGGGGTGGGGCTGGTGGTGGTGGTGATCGTCGTCGCTCGTCGTGGTTCTTCTCCGTGGTCGTCGCTGTCTTTGTCTGTCCCGTTGCTCTGATTTCAAGCTACATACTTAACATTGTTTGGTTCTTTGGCGAGGCATGGACATCGACGGCTGTGAAATGTACGGCATCGGCTCCCAATTGGCGGACCCCGTCGAGGCCCAGAGGTCTTCTGTGTGGGTATAGGCATCTTGTACATTGAGTATTGTCAAGATTATGTCTTTCATCTGTATTCATTTCCTACATGTATGTACACATATATATGTATGTAAGCTTGTTATGTTATATTCTAATAGAAAACGTTTTGTTATGTTGTATTATGTGATCCCATGTGACATCCTCTTCCATTATACTATGTTATGTTATGTTATATTTTTTTGTATTATATTGTAGCGGCTGTCTGTTTAACGACGTATGCCGATGCAAGGGGCTCGTCTTTCGTCCGTGTCGGGCGCAGCAGTTCTTGAGTTCTTCTGGTTCCTGTGCCTTGATGGCCGTGGCGGCTAGGATTCTGTTTAGTTCACGTTGCGACATCAAACATTGTCCCCAGTGTTGTTCAGACAGCGAAGGCAACGTTTCTGGTCTCTGACGAATGCTACAAAGGTTATCATTATGCTCATTTCTGCGCGTCTCCTTTCGTAAGCTTGGAAACATGAAGCTCGAGCCCCCAGGCGATTGTGTTGGAGGCTCTTTTTCAACATTTTTGCACTTACGCTGTACGTTCGAAAATAGTTTGGTTTCTCCTGGATGTCGAGAAACGGAGCCGACGGTTTGTCCTTTTCTGAGCTTCAATCACCGTACATCCCACAACAGACTTGACCCAGCAGCCGAGCTTGGAAACGGATCCTCAGGCGAACTCCTGCTCCAGAGCTGCCTGGCTTGCAAGATGCTTCCTCACTTTGTAGGCCCCGAGTCTTCCCATCCCTGCCTCTGTCGCCTTCCAAAACACCTTACATGACAGTACTATGCGAGGTAGTCGTAGCTTGAACGTTACGAGGCTGCAAAGGGGAGAGCCTTTTGCCAAAGATGGCATCAACAACATTAACATTGATGATGGGGCACGTGATCGTGTTGATAACGGGACAGAGTGTGTTGATCTCATTTGGCTGTTTACCACGCGCATTTTCCGTCTGCCACTCGTCGTCATGAGAGCAGTCAGCATCATGAGCACCAAGTCATGTGCATGATGATGACCACCGCGACCATCGCCGCCGCCGCCACTGCCACCACCCTCAGTGTCACCATGACCATCACCATCACCGATGACAAGCAGCCTCGCTATCGCCCATCATCATCATTATCATCATCAGAACCGTTCGTCTAGTTTTGCTCCCCGTAGAGCATAGATGTACCAGTCAATCCAGCTGCTCCCGGTGGGAAATGCCTGGGGGGTTGCTCTCCTGTGTCGAGTCTAGGTTCGAGAGGGTAAAGGGTTGGAGTGTTGGAGTTCTTGCGGGTCAATGGGTTGAGCAACCGGAATCCGAAATCCTGCCCGTTTACAAGAAGCAGTGATTACAACTGTTTCTACAGGAACTTGGAGGGCTACTCTAGACTCAGGTGCTGCGCCTTGCTGACGACGATGATGCTCCGCTGCTTCTGAGAGCCACGGCCCAAGCTGTGTGTTGGAAAATGCCACCCTCGGCCATCAGCGCAAGCCCCGCAGGACTAAGTCCCGAATATAGAGCCGGCATTTCGGATCTTGGGCTCCGTTTGCACCTTAGGTTATGTTAAGGATAAATTCTGGAGCAACGCTTGGAGTTCTTGCGTAGCAGCGATTAAGCGGCGTTCGATCATCCAGGCAGGCCACATGCGTGGCAAGTTTGGTCCTTTGAGCGGGTAAACGACGACCATGACGATGAGGCTGAAGGCAATGGCTATGAACAAGAGAAGCAGAAGACGACAAAGATTACTAGTCAGGCGGTCATGATGGTGAACACTGCTGATGGCATTGCCTCAGTTTGTTTTTGTTTTCGTAAAGGCGCTGGATAGTTCGCTGCTTTCGCTCTCAGAACCGTTTGTGATATTCTCGGGCATTCTGCGGCCCACAAGGCTTCGAAGACAGGAATCGGAAATGCGCAGCACGGAGGCAGTGGCGTTCTCCTGGCATGCTTTGATCTGCGCTCCGAACTGCAGAGCCGACTTTTGGTTCAGAGTAACCTTTCCCAAACATCTTCAAGCCCCCCACTATGCAGTTTTGTGCACCAATCGTCTTCAAGATGTGTCATTTCAAGCGAAGCGGACAAGCCGTCCTTGCCGCCCCTTCGAGGGCGCAGGGATTTCGCAAATTCCCGATCTTCCAAAAGCCTCCAAGTCTGCCAGGTCAGCATCATGCAGTCCATTCTCACCAGTGTCGCCCGGCTTTCGGCTTGCGGGCCCTTTGCTTCCGACCTTTTGGGGCTTCAGCTTTGAGGCTTTGGGGTTATGCGTTTCTTGCGGCATGAGATCTGAAGCCTCGAGTCGCTTAGTAGACAGCTTGACGTGTAGCTTTCGGGTTAGCCGCGCGTGTTTTGGCTCAGGTTTGAGCTTCGGAAACGGTCATCTGGCACCATGTTCGTGACCTTCGGGCTTGATGCCCACGAATTGAACACCCCAAAACAACAGAGCCCTAAGTAGTAGCTCAACTCATCCTAAACCATGAACTCTAGATCATCAACTTAAACCCCAGACAGGGTAACTTCTGCCCGTCGGCCTGCTCAGATCGCCGGAAGCATCGGCCCGAACATGCACCTCAGACAGACGAATCCTTACCTCGCCGCTGGGCTTCGCAGCTTCGGCTTGGGGGGTCGGGGATCAGAGCTGAGGATTCAGAGAGCACGGAATTATGGTTGAAGGGTTTCGACCCGGCCTTTCTTGCAAACCGAGGGCACACGGATCGCTTGCAGATCAGCAGCAATCGAGACATCCAGCGCAAGCTTCAAGCTCAACACAGTCAAACGGAAAAACGTCCTGCATTTGCAACGGATAACCCGGTGCCGCGAAGCTTATCTCGACCTCGCTTGCGTTTGGGTCCTTCGTTGCCTGTAGCTTTTAGCGTGGGGCTCGCCGACTGGTTCGACCGGCAAGGCTGGTCCAGTCGACCCGCAGCAAGCCCCAAAGTCGAAGACTTGGAACCAATGTTTGTGCTTATGCCGAGGACATTTCAGAGCTGCCTTTGCACTTCGTGACAGAGGCCGTAGGATGCTTTTTGGGACTCTACGTGTTTCCTTGGTTGATTTCAGGTTCGATTGTTTACTGGGCTTTGGATGCTACTGTTGTGTTTACTGTCGTGTTCTCGGGGTGCGGAGTTTTCGTGATTTTGCTGTGGGGTGTAGTGAGCTGAAGCCTTTTCCCTTAGGCTTGAGATTTATCTTGGACCTCATCACTATGGAGTCTGAGAATGGCAAGAATACAATCAGAAGTAACGGTATCAAACTTTTTGTTTCCGAGATGTAACGATGTGGTTGCCGTCGTTGCAGTCAATGTAGTGGTGGCAGGAGCCGTAGGAGCAGTGATCGTTGTAGTCACACTTGCAATCGTAGTCGCAGTAGCAGTAGCAGTAGGCGTAGCAGCAGCTGCGCATAGTGCGATCGGATGAAGAGACTGTGGTGAAACAACGCCGATAAAACGGCATGAGATTGCTGAGACAGCAGCAGGATGAGCACCCGGCCATTATGTTGGTAGGAACAGCGATGATTGCGATGACAGCAGTTTATGCTCACGCTAATGATGAAAACAAAGGTAGCGATGGTATCCACAGCAATCAGGGGAAGACTGGCAGTAGTGACAGGAACCACACTGACCCCTCACTAATCATCAAAATGGTCAGAAATCTCAGAAGGAACATGATGCTCAAGAATCACGTAATCATCACTCAGAGAGTTCTGACAATGCAGAAGGCAGAGACCATTGACCAATAAGAGTAGGTTATCTGAATACTGGCATGATGACGATGACTATAGTGACGATGATGGCTGAATGATTTCGATCCTCGGCTGGGCTCGAAGACCAGACATTAAAAAGCAAGAAGAGCAGTTCTCTGCAAACCCAGATTGGACTAGATCGTCTTACTGCACAGCCCGGGATTCCGAACCCCGAGCCGTAAAAGCTTAAGCCGCTACTTTCAGAGCTGGAGGTGAAGGAAGGTTGGCGAGGGTCGAGACCGATGTACGACGTTCGACAGAAGACGCTTTCAGATGCTGCATGTCTGGAATGCAGCGGGCGAAGAGCTGGTCTCGGTACCTGTAGAAGAGCTGAGTTCTGTGCGAAGCTTGAAGCGAGACTTGCAGAGGCGCTGTGGCTTTCCGAGATTCCGGCAGGTCCTTATGCATGAAGGTATTATTCTGGATGATGGCGCAACATTGGTCACGCCTGGGGATGCTCAGGTGGTTCTGCTACCGTTCGCTCCAGCTTCCCAGGAGGACATGCTGACATTTATAATTGCCGTGCAGAACGGCCTCGTCCATGACGTCGAGGAAATTCTACGGCGTCCTCACGATCCCAACAGACCCCGGACGGCTCTGGTTCACGCGTCCACTCGAGGCCACGTCGAGGTTGTGGGCTTGCTACTGGAAGCCGGGGCCGACAAAGACGGCACGGACATAGACCGCACCACGGGTCTTCAGCACGCCTCTGGCAGAGGTCACAAGGAGGTTGTGCGATTGCTGCTGCAGGCGGACGCAAACAAGGACCTCGCAGACTGTCAGGGGCGAACAGCTCTCATGTACGCATCTCAGCGTGGCCATGCGGAATGTGAACGGCTGCTGTTGAAGGCCAAGGCCGATAAGGAATTGGCCGACAAGGACGGTTGGACGGCTCTGATATATGCATGTTCACAGGGCACGGAAGAGAGCGTGGCCTTACTGTTGCAAGCTGGGGCGCAAAGTGACTTGGCTGACCATCTGGAACGGACGGCTCTGATCCATGCCGCCAGCAGAGGCCATGTGGAAATAACCCGTCTTCTGTTAAAAGCCAGAGCCAGCACAGGTTTCGCTGACATTGATCGTACGACGGGGTTGGTACACGCCTCTGTCCAAGGCTATGCAGCTGTTGTGCGTCTATTGCTGGAGGCTCGTGCTGACGAAGAGTTGGTCCGAGAAACGGGCAAGACCGCGTTTCGTCGCGCATGCGCACAAGGTCACATGAAGGTAGCACGACTGCTGCTAGCAGCCAGAGTTGGTGGGGTACTCACCTCCTGGTGCGCATGCTCTTCGAGAAGCTGGAGACGCCCAGGCAAGTTTGGGGTTCGCAGCCACGACGGGATGCTTCCGGGAAGCACGTCCGCGGTCACCGCATGGCAGGAAGATGCAGCGGGTTGAGACCGGTACATCTGCATTTTGCTCATCGCAACTGAAGGAAGGCTTTGTTGTCTGTTGTGGTGCGAAAAAGCAGAGAGTATTCATACGAGCCCGGAATCACTCAGCAGATATTTGCTAATATTGCACTGCTTTAACCCTTAGCCTCAAGTCTAACAGCTCTGACATCTCCGGAATCTGACCTACTGCATCTCAGGTCCAATACAACAGTACTTGCAGCACGCAAGCCTGTTGTTCAAAATTCGGAAAAGATAAGCTACAGCTCGCAGACACGGCACGAAGTGTGTAGCCGAAGGTGGTTCCTTTTCGCATGGCCTCGACCTTCATGACCTCCTTCTCCCGCGGATTCGGTGGCACCAACGTGTCAGTCGTGAGCTACGCAGCCAAGGCCCGCTTTGCCCTCTTTCTGCCTCTGCCTGGGGATCAGGGCTTAGCGGCGAAGGGTCCACGGATTGAGGTCGAACAGTCGTGCGTGCCCTGACGGCAACCCAAAACCTGAAACCGCCCCCGACTCGTAAAAGCTGATCCCTGCATTCTTCAGTCCCCCGTCGCCCGTGCTCGCACGTGCCCGGACTCTGTGACCTCGAAGAGGATCTCCCAAAGCCGGTCAACGCAAGCACTACACCCAATATCCTAAACACTGCACCTCAAAACCCACGGTTTCTGAGAATATAATCATATCCAGGACACCAGCCACCTTCCGGACTCTGCGGCACCGATGCCCCTGGCCGACGGCTTGGTTTTCTGGCCCGGGGGAGGCCAGCGACACGATTTGCGAAGAAGCTGGACTTCTTGGTTGAGGGGTTCATCCAGGGTTCGAGGTGTTGGGACTGCACGGGTTCGGACCCGCGGCGCGAATAAGGTGCTTGTGCCGCAGAGGCCATGATTTCCATCGGGCAGCTGTTTCTTCCGCTGCCATCGCAGGTGGCAAAGTCGATGGGGACTCGATGCCCAAGCAGCATTTCGCCATCGCAGGCCCGAGGAAATATTCGGAAGCCCTAAGAGATGGCGACAAAGATTGAGATGGGTCGGGGGAGAGGGCAGGTTGAGGATTTTTGGAGCGATTGATGAGGGCCCTGCGAAAATCTTGGCAGGCACGAGGCTCAGGAAGCATCCAACACCGCAGCGAGTCTGTGCTTGGAGGTACCTTTTCCGAGTGGGAGCCACAGCCCATGAAGAAGGACCAGTTGAGCCTTGGATTTGGGACTCAACCTCGCTTCCTACAAGTCAAGCCTGAACTGCGCAAGTTCGCCAAGCCAGTGGGTTGCAAATCCTGAAGCTTCTGGAAACGCAGGGACTCTCTGTACCGAAGATCATGAGATGTTAGTCCCGAGGAGTCGGGTCTCCAGGGGAAGGTAGCCTTGTACTCACGATGCTGTGTAACTTAAGATGTGATGAGTTCTCTCTAAAGCACGTCATTCATGGGATCGAAACTGTCCAAAGTCCTCTCCCTGTGATCCTGCGGTTCCACTGCGATGGTACCCCAACTCAAGCGCCTACCGAAGTGCGCCCGACAAGCAGAAGCCCGCATGCCAAAGGGCTTCGCAAGTCATCAGAGCACGACGAAAGCTAACTCTGCTGCTGTAGCGCAGGAGTCGGAGGGTGTTTTCAGCTGCTCTGTCACGCTGGGGGAGAACAGGCTGGGGTGTCGGCGGACCCACCGGCAACCTCCAGAGTCGAGTTTGGGGTTTGAGGTGCAGAGTCCCCTGATCCCAACGCATCCAGCGCATCTGGAATGCAACTTAGGAGGTTTGCGAGGGATGTTCTTTTCCGAGCAGACTGGGGATTAGGGTGCGGTTCGGAGTGGTTTAGGGCTTTGCTCCAGAGATTTTTCAGACCTTGGTCCAGAAGCTACTTAGGAGGCCCTAGGAGGCCCTTAACCCGAATGCTCAACTCTAAGGGCGTAGTTGAAGCCCATAACTGTAGATGGTAACTGCGAACCAAGGACCCTTGAGTGTGGATTTCCATCCTAAACCCTGAAATTTGGGCCAGACCTCCCAGCCCCCGAAACCCTAAAGCCTCAAATCTTGAAGCTAAAGGACTTAAAATCTTAGGCCAGACAAGCTTTGAACCGAACAGGCTCAAACAGCGCTCTCGCAAACTTAATCTTGCACCGAAAAGCACTCGAACGGCAGGTGGGAACAGTTCCAGATTTGGCTCGATGGCGACCCATTGAGGTCGCAGCTCTCTGGGACTTGAATGGTAAAACCGATATGACGATTACTATCATGGTTACTACTTTTATTATGACTGTAATTGTGCTCATTGATGTTACTGCTAATGTTATTGTTATTGTTATCATTATTGTTGTTCTTGTTTTATTGTTATTGTGATTGTAAAAGTTGTTATCAATGGCAATTACTTTTGTGAGGAAACGGATGAGTATTGATCATATTACCGTTATTGTTGTGGTACTACTTACTGTTGTTGGTATTAGCGATGCTTTGTGCATTGTTGCTGCTGCTACTAGTCTTACTAGTTTTGTTGGTACAGTCATGGTCGTCAGCGCCATTATCATCATCATCATCACTACCATAATCACCATCATCACTATCATCACCATCATCAAACTACTGGGGCCAGAGTATGAGGATTGTGGACGTGGGGTCTGTTTTCGTCTGGCCATTCTTGTCATATTTGTGTCAGGTGCAGAGATCTGTTTTATGCATGTCGGTGTTTCCAACTTGTTGAAGGTTTCGAGATTCCAGGTGTTTAGTTTGGCTCTGCGGTTCACTCCGTTTGAGCCATGCGGCTGAAGGAAAGCGTTGTTTACGGTTTTCAAGTTTTTCGGCTTCTTAGTATTTTAGTACTTAATAACACCGGCCTTCAGCGACTTCGTGCCTGACGTCGTGTTGTGGCATCGAGTTGAGCGGTTAGCCTTTAACCCAAGTACAGGAGCCTGAAGAAACCCTCCGTTGGGCTTCTGGGCTTTCGGGTTTGGGGGTCTTGGCTCACGTGAGGCCTTCTGGCTCCGTACTTTTTTCTGTGGTATCCTGTGTTATGACTGTTCCTCCAAAATCTGCCTTCTGCCGCTCATCATCAGTCCGCAATCCAGCCATTTTGCGATGAGCCAGGTGCCTTTACCCGGAGCAGCACAAGGCCCCAGCGCATGCTCGCAGAGAGTAGAGCCCGACTTTACACCAACGCTAGAAGCCCGATGCCGTCATCCTACGGCCACCGGTCTGACAGGCGAAGATGCCTTGCAGGCTCAAGCTTGCCTCAATTCCTTCCCATCGCACGAGCCCAGTTCAGCCCGAACCCAGAAAGCCCTCCACCAGTAGAACCAATTTAACGCCCCTGAAACCTGAACCCTAAACCCCAAGCCCCTGCCCTCGCACCGAAGACTGACAAAGCAAATTCGTCGAACCCAAGCCCTAACGCAACTTATGGCTGCATGCTCCCCCTGAACCCTTTAGAGATTTCCAAGCCAGGCCCCCTCCAAGTCCTCGGTCTGTGGCCCCGATGCAGACTCTGGAGGTTGGGTTTGGGGTGTAAGTTTGAAAGTGCCGGCTTCAAGGTTTCAGGTAAAAGGGTTTACGGTTCAGGAGTGTCGGGCTTAGGCGTTCAGGTTGAAGGGGGTTTAGAGGCTCAGGTGAACGGGTTTAGGGTTTGGTGGTTCAGGTTAAAGGGTTTAGGGTTTAGGAGTGTGGGGTTTAGGAGTGTCGGGTTTGGTGGTTCAGGTTAAAGGGTTTAGTGTTTAGGAGCGTGGGGTTTAGGAGTTCAGGTTGAAGGGTTTAAGGTTTAGGAGTGTCGGGTTTGGTGGTTCAGGTTAAAGGGTTTAGGGTTTAGGAGTGTGGGGTTTAGGAGTTCAGGTTGAAGGGTTTAGGGTTTAGGAGTGTCGGGTTTGGTGGTTCAGGTTAAAGGGTTTAGGGTTTAGGAGTGTGGGGTTTAGGAGTTCAGGTTGAAGGGTTTAGGGTTTAGGAGTGTCGGGTTTGGTGGTTCAGGTTAAAGGGTTTAGGGTTTAGGAGTGTGGGGTTTAGGAGTTCAGGTTGAAGGGTTTAGGGTTTAGGAGTGTCGGGTTTGGTGGTTCAGGTTAAAGGGTTTAGGGTTTAGGAGTGTGGGGTTTAGGAGTTCAGGTTGAAGGGTTTAGGGTTTAGGAGTGTCGGGTTTGGTGGTTCAGGTTAAAGGGTTTAGAGTTTAGGAGTGTGGGGTTTAGGAGTTCAGGTTGAAAGGTTCAGGGTTCAGGAGTGTCGGGTTTGGTGGTTCAGGTTAAAGGGTTTAGGGTTTAGGAGTGTCGGGTTTGGTGGTTCAGGTGAAAGGGTTTAGGGTTTAGGAGCGTGGGGTTTAGGAGTTCAGGTTGAAGGGTTCAGGGTTCAGGAGTGTCGGTATTGGTGGTTCAGGTTAAAGGGTTTAGGGTTTAGGAGTGTCGGGTTTGGTGGTTCAGGTGAAAGGGTTTAGGGTTTCGGAGTGTGGGTTTAGGAGTTCAGGTTGAAGGGTTCAGGGTTTAGGAGTGTCGGGTTTGGTGGTTCAGGTTAAAAGGTTTAGGGTTTAGGAGTGTGGGGAAAAGGAGTGTCGGGTTTGGTGGAGGAGGTTAAAGGGTTTAGTGTGTAGGAGCGTGGGGTTTAGGAGTTCAGGTTGAAGCGTTTAAGGTTTAGGAGTGTCGGGTTTGGTGGTTCAGGTTAAAGGGGATAGGGTTTAGGAGTGTGGGGTTTAGGAGTTCAGGTTGAAGGGTTTAGGGTTTAGGAGTGTCGGGTTTGGTGGTTCAGGTTAAAGGGTTTAGGGTTTAGGAGTGTGGGGTTTAGGAGTTCAGGTTGAAGGGTTTAGGGTTTAGGAGTGTCGGGTTTGGTGGTTCAGGTTAAAGGGTTTAGAGTTTAGGAGTGTGGGGTTTGGTGGTTCACGTTGAAGGGTTTAGGGTTTAGGAGTGTCGGGTTTGGTGGTTCAGGTTAAAGGGTTTAGGGTTTAGGAGTGTCGGGTTTGGTGGTTCAGGTTAAAGGGTTTAGGGTTTAGGAGTGCGAGGTTTAGGAGTTCAGGTTGAAGGGTTTAGGGTTTAGAGTGTCGGTAATGGTGGTTCAGCTTGAAGGGGGTTGGGTTTAGGAGTGCGGGATTAGGCGTTCAGGTTAAAGGGTTTAGGGTTTAGGAGTGTCGGGTTTGGTGGTTGAGGTTAGAGGGTTTAGGGTTTAGGAGTGTGGGGTTAAGGGGTTCTGGTTAAAGGGTTTAGGGTTTAGGTGTGGGTTCAGGTTAAAGGGTGTAGGGTTTAGGAGTGTGGGGTTAAGGGGTTCTGGTTAAAGGGTTTAGGGTTTAGGAGTGGGTTCAGGTTAAAGGGTTTAGGGTTTAGGAGTATCGGGTTTGGTGGTTCAGGTTAAAGGGTTTAGGGTTTAGGGTTTAAGAGTTTGGGGTTTGGTGTTTCAAGTTAAAGGGTTTAGGGTACAGGGTTTAGGGGTTCAGGGTAAAGGGTTTAGCGCTTCGGAGTGTCGGGATTGGTGGTTCAGGTTGAAGGGTTTAGGGTTTAGGAGTGCGGGATTCGGCGTTCAGGTTAAAGGGTTTAGGGTTTAGGGTTTAGGAGTGTGGGGTTTAAGGGTTAAAGGGTTTAGGGTTTAAGAGTTTGGGGTTTGGTGTTTCAAGTTAAAGGGTTTAGGGTTTAGGAGTGTGGGGTTTAGGGGTTCAGGGTAAAGGGTTTAGGGTTTAGGAGTGTGAGGTTTAGGAGTTCAGGTTGAAGGGTTTAGGGTTTAGGAGTGCCGGGTTTGGTGGTTTAGGTTAAAGGGTTTAGGGTTTTGGGAGTGTGGGGTTTAGGAGTTCAGGTTGAAAGGTTTAGGGTTTAGGAGCGTCGAGTTCAGGGTATCAGGTTAAAGAGTTCAAGGTTTAGGAGTGCCGGGTTTGGTGGCTCATGAAAGGGTTTAGGGTTTAGGAGTGTCGGGTTTGGTGGTTCAGGTTGAAAAGTTTATGGTTTATGGTTTAGGAGTGGATGTGGTTCAGGGATTCACGTCCAAGGGTTTATTTAGGGTTTAGGAGTGTCGGTATTGGTGGTTCAGGTTAAAGGGTTTAGGGTTTAGGAGTGTCGGGTTTGGTGGTTCAAGTTAAAGGGTTTAGGGCAGGGTTTGGGAGTGTGAGGTTTGGAGGTTACAGGGTTCAGGGTTTAGGAGTGCGGGGTTTAGGGGTTCGGGTTGAAGGGTTTCGGGTTTACAGGTGTCGGGTTTGGTGGTTCAGGTTAAGGGGTTTAGGGTTTAGCAGTGTGGGGTTTAGGGGTTCAGGTTAAAGGGTTTAGGGTTTAGGAGTGTCGGGTTTGGTGGTTCAGGTGAAAGGGTTTAGGGTTTAGGAGTGTCGGGTTTGGTGGTTCAGGTTGAAAGGTTTATGGTTTATGGTTTAGGAGTGGATGTGGTTCAGGGATTCACGTCCAAGGGTTTATTTAGGGTTTAGGAGTGTCGGTATTGGTGGTTCAGGTTAAAGGGTTTAGGGTTTAGGAGTGTCGGGTTTGGTGGTTCAGGTCAAAGGGTTTAGGGTTTAGGAGTGTGAGGTTTGGAGGTTACAGGGTTCAGGGTTTAGGAGTGCGGGGTTTAGGGGTTCGGGTTGAAGGGTTTAGGGTTTACAGGTGTCGGGTTTGGTGGTTCAGGTTAAGGGGTTTAGGGTTTAGCAGTGTGGGGTTTAGGGGTTCAGGTGAAAGGGTTTAGGGTTTAGGAGTGTCGGGTTTGGTGGTTCAGGTTGAAGGGTTTATTGTGTACAGGTTAAAGGGTTTAGGGTTTTGGAGTGTCGGTTTGATGGTTCAGGTGAAAGGGTTTAGGGTTTAGGAGTGGATGGGGTTCAGGTTAAAGGGTTTAGGGTTTAGGAGTTTGGGGTTCGGGGGTCAAGTTAAAGGGTTTCAGGTTAAAGGGTTTAGGGTTTGGGAGTGTCGGGTTTCGGGGTCCAGGTTAAAAGGGTTTTTTAGGGTTTAGGAGTGGACGTGGTTTAGGAGTTCACGTTAAAGGGCTAAGGGTTTTGGAGCGTCGGGTTTGGTGGTTTAGGTCAAGGGGTTTAGGGTTTAGGCTTTAGGAGTGGGTGTGGTTTAGGGGTCCAGTATTGTCGAGTTTGGTATAGTGGTTCAGCAGTTCAGGAGTTTTTGGGTTTAGGAGTGCAGGGTTCAGAGTTGCAGGGGTGCCTGATGTGGCTTTGCGGGCTTTGGAGCGCTAAGATTGGTCTGAGCTTGACGCTGCACTTACGAATCAATCGAATGTGAGATTGTCTCAGGTCTTGTCGGTGGGGCAGGGTTTAGTCTATTAGTCAACTTCAGGTGAAGTTCAGAGCAACGATCGGAGTTCGTCTTGATTCTTGCTTACACTCCACACCCCGACCCACCCAATTCCTTGCATGTGCTACAGCCAGAGCGTTCTTGTCTACCCTGCTCTTCAACCGAATACAGCAACTCCTAGCCTTGAGTCAGCCCTGCCGTTGCCCTGCATCGGCCCGGAGCACTCAACCTACATAGGCCTCGAATGCTGTCGCCATGTAAGAAGTCTGACACAAGCGGTGACGCTGCGTTTGTGAGAGGCAACTGCTGGCTGCTCGACGGACGACCTCAGGCGGAGCTGCGTTTGCGGCCAAAGGCCTCGGCGACTTCCGGGAATCGGGGCTTCTGTAGCGCTGTAGCGTTCTACTGATTGCCAAACCACAGGTACCATGGCAAGCAGGCGGGTTCGGGTTTTCGATGTCTGAGTGTGGAGGTTCTGTGGGAGGTTTTGTGAAACTGGGTTGTAGGGTAGGTTGTTGCAAGATTCAGGATTTGATTTCGCCTTGGACGTTTTCGCAAAAGTTGCGGTTCACAGATGCAGAATGTTATGCCTCTGGGAGGCAGGTGGGCAGTGCTCTGGAGCTGGTATGACGATTTGGCAGGATTGTCGTGCGGTTTATGAAGGTGGCGAGGGCCGAACATGCGAAACAAAGGCAAACCGTGGAGCCTAAAGTAGTCGAAGCTCGGGCAACCCCCTAGCCCTTCCCTGAGCCCAACAGGCCCACAACCAACGACCTCAGTGCCCCAAGCATCAAAGCCTCGATCGGCGCGAGGGTCCACCTGGGGGAGCATCCGGTGCATCGGAAGAGGCCAAGGATAGCATGCGCCGATTAGATAGGCTTTCATCAGATGACTCTTACTATGGTTTTGGGATCCGAAATGAGGGATCTGCCCTTTCGTG